ATATCCAATATCACACAAACTCCGTGTTCTCCATGTATCCGATATCAGTGAAAGAAATGAGCGAGACTTTGTCACAAATAATGATGCATTTTTCGCCCGTGTGTCTATCATCTTGACCCAGTTCGGCCCCGCAAAAGGGCGTATCAGTGCGTCGTCCGCCTCTGTTTGTGTTGTGAGAAAGAAAGCGTATAAATAAAAGGATTAAATTATACATTTATTTATCTGAGTATTCAGGAGACAGGAACTAAGATTTAATTAACTTAGAGTAGTCTGAATGACCCACACAGGAACATAAGTGCCTCGTAATTAGTACGAAGTCCTGTTCATTTCTCTGAGCGTATGTCGAGTCTTTTGCATTACAACTGGCAGGCCTGAAGATCAGCCGTGCATTACCAGTTTTAAACATCAAACAGCCCTCAATGGAACGACTATAAAATCTTTTTTTAAGCCGCTAATTAGGCGCTGATTCAGCCTGCTGTCAGTAAAAAGCCTACAACATCATTTTGTTTTAAATATCATGACTTTACATCGTCAAAAATGGGAGCTAATTAGTAATAACTTATTTTTATTGCTGTCCACCAATAAACGATGCAACAAATCATCAGTTTATCCTCTGACCAGCGATGTTATTGAACCCAGCTTGAAAATTAGAGGGGTCGGTTCCGAATAGCGATACACTTTTTCTGTTTGAGTGAGTCATCATAACCCAGTTTGACCCGTATCAGTGCTACGTCTGCTCTTTGCTCGTAGTGTGGGTAAAAAGTGGGTCACTATTCGGGCTATAAGGTCCTTTCAATTCCTGAGTGTACCTGGCACCACCTCGCCGCTGATCGAATACGAGTATATGCCTGCATTAGAAACTGGTCTTCGAACTCGTCCTCAAAATACCGCACGTCAACCTAATTTTGAATTTTCGCATTAAGAACATTGATATTTTTAATTACGTTACTAATGTTAGCTAACAGAATGCTGGGGTTTAGGATCGGAAATAATAATAATAAACACTTATTATGCACTTCTATTACATTGGTCATAGAAGCGCAGGCATAATATTCACTGCAAAATTTCCACGAGTTATGTCTGATTGCAGTAAATTGATTCACTGCATATTGATTGATATCGAATATAGAGTATTGATAGAATAGAATATTGATTTCACTGATTGCGGACAATTCTAGGCCATTGTAACCCGGTCTTACTTGCTGAGGGCTAGATTGAATAATTCAGTGTACGGATCATGTCTTAGAAGGCTTAAGGCCAATAACACAACTGACCAGAGTTGTTGGAATTAATAATATTAAAGGAACGGTCCCTGTTAGTTCAAGGGAGCAGGACAGTGTTGATCTCTGACCAGGCGACCAGAATAGCTTCAATTATTAGCGCCAGCAACGTCTGACTTTGCGCGATGAAAATTTTACTTGCATTTACCAGGATAGAAATATGTTCTGCTCCACATGCCATTTTTAACACCGAATAGAATAAACAGGTTTATATAATGATATGCATACCGAACCATATTTTACAAACAAATGAAATCAGTAGGTTTATATAATGTTATGATCCACATACCATATTTTACAAACTAGTAACTAAATGAAGAGATTAATAAAATGATATGCTCCCAGCACCATATTTTATAAACTGCTAAAATGAACAAGTTAATATATATTAAATTTCTCGAACCATTTTTTTAGAAATTCATTAAATCAACATGATACCTGATGTTGAAATCAACAGTATAATGCTGAAATCAACAGGATATCGTTCCGCACAACTGTTGTGGCTTCTAAGTTCTGCAAACATTTGAATTCTGCCAGGAAATATACCGCTAAAAACAAAGTCTGCCAGGAAATTTACTGCTTAATATAAAGTCTGCCAGGAAATTTACAGCTTAAACTAAAGTCTGCCAGAAAATTTACCGCTTAAAATAAAGTCTGCCAGAAAATTTACAGCTTAAACTAAAGTCTGCCAAGAAATTTACCGCTAAATATTAAGTGTGCCAGGAAATTTACCGCTAAAAATAAAGTCTGCCAGTAAATTTACCGCTAAAAATAAAGTCTGCCAGAAAATTTTCAATTTAAACTAAAGTCTGCCAGGAAATTTGCAGCTAAAAATAAAGTCAGCCAGGAAATTTACCATTTAATATAAAGTCTGCCAGGAAATTTACAGCTTAAACTAAAGTTTGCCAGGAAATTTACCGCTCAATATAAAGTATGCCAGAAAATTTACATCTTAATATAATGTCTGCCAGGAAATTTACCGCTTAATATGAAGTCTGCCAGGAAATTTACAGCTTGAACTAAAGTCTGCCAGGAAATTTACCGCAAAAAATAAAGTCTGCCAAGAAATTTACCGCTCAATATAAAGTCTGCCAGGAAATTTACAGCTTAAACTAAAGTCTGCCAGGAAATTTACCGCAAAAAATAAAGTCTGCCAAGAAATTTACCGCTCAATATAAAGTCTGCCAGGAAATTTACCGCTTAATATAAAGTCTGCCAGGAAATTTACAGCTTAAACTAAAGTCTGCCAGGAAATTTACCGCTAAAAATAAAATCTGCCTGGAAATTTACCGCTAAAAATAGAGTCTTCCAGGAAATTTACCGCTTATTATAAAATCTGCCGGGAAATTTACCGCAAAAAATAAAGTCTGCCGGGAAATTTACAGCTTAAACTAAGGTCTGCCGGGAAATTTACCGCTAAAAATAAATTCTGCCAGGAAATTTACCGCTTAATATAAGGCCTGTCATTAAATTAACAGCTTAAACCAAAGTCTGCCGGGAAATTTACCGCTAAAATTAAAGTCTGTCAGGAAATTTGCCGCTTAATATACAGTCTGATTTAAATAAGTCTGCCAGGAAAATTACCGCTAAAAATAAAGTCGCTCAGGAAATTTACCGCCAGAAATAAAATTTCTATTACAAAGAAACTTTATAAATTCTAGAGTAATATAAATAAATTTACCGCTGAATATAAAAGCTGCCGGGAAATTTACCGCTTAAACTAAAGTCTGGTAGGCTTACCGCTTAAACTAATGTCTGCCAGGAAATGTACCGCTCAAAAATGTAGCCTGCCAGGAAATGTAGCGCTGTTTAGCCTTCCATGCGAGTTCCCCGGGAAATAATGACAGCTTTGATTTTATAATGAGCGCTAACTTTGCTCGCTCCGCTGCCCACTTTATGTGAGAACCTTCAGCGGGCACTGCATGCAGCTGAATGTTCAGCTGGCGCTGCATTCAGCTGAATGTTCAGCTGGCGCTGCATTCAGCTCAATGTTCAGCTGGCGCAGCATTCAGCTGAATGTTCAGCTGGCGCAGCATTCAGCTGAATGTTCAGCTGGCGCTGCATTCAGCTGAATGTTCAGCTGGCGCTGCATTCCGCTGAATGTTCAGCTGGCGGAACATTCAATTGAATGTTCATCTGACTTGTGCGGTGACATGAAATTTACCACAGATTGTACTTTCTAAGTTTACATTTTTTTCTAGACAAAAATGCACAAAAATTTTATGCACAAAATTCGTCCCCACATCATGTTTATGAACCAAATTTGTATCTAATCTCGTGTACAAGTTCAAACATTTTTACCCCATGTCATGTCCATGCACTGCACCGATTGCATGCGAAAAGTTAATAATTTACACGTAAAATTTGAACACCCATATTTTTGCCGCTCATATGAACGAACACCAGGAGTGACCCCATTTGACCCGCCAAAAATATATTGTGTTCGTAGCAATATCTCAGTTTGGAGATATCGCGTTGGTAGAAAGATCTCGGTGTAGATTGCGTTAGTGGCAATATTTCCGTTTGAAGATATTGCACCGTCGGCTTTCCGTTTAGTGCAAGATGTAGCCGCGCGATTTGTGCCGCGGTTGAAGGAACTGACGTGTGGGAATTTCTTCTAAGAGCTCCAAGACAGACCCTAACGTGCCATAGACTCATGCTTTTATTGCTTAATTGATTTAATTGATTAGTTTATTATTTAACTTTTTGGTATAAAACTAGTGACAGAAGCACCTCTCTGCCAGGTCTCTGTCTGAGAAGATTTAGTGGGGATCACATTGAGGCTATAGAAGTAACCCTTTGATTGTTGGATTGCAAATTTTATATAGGATTCAAATATGATAAGTGTAAGTTGTATTCAAATGCAAATAACTGCTCTATAACACTTATTTGTAATACTCCCAAATGCTAGCAGAAAAAATGAACGTTATCAAAGTATCACGTTAGCAAACCAGCGTCGCGTTTGCAGAACACTGAATAAAACCTGTCTCAAATCGAAGAGCCGTGGCCCACTTTTAGGATGAAGAGAACTCGGTAGGAAATCAGGAAAACGTGGTAGAGAGAACAGTGAAACAGACGAAAATTATTTTGTATATTGAAACTGGTCTACGAGTCTTAGATTTAAAATGTAAGAATACGCAACTTGCTTGAGCACGAAGATAAGAATCGGCGACAGGCCACATCAGGCCTACACTTCAGAGCCGACATCACTATGTTATGTTATGTTATGAGGACAACGCATTGGGGAGACGCGTGCACTCCGTTGTCAGTCTCTGGTATTTTATACTTTCACATTGTATACTTTTCACATATTATTACCAACAATAAAATTAATTATGCTGTCATCATGCCCTCTTTCTAAAATTGTTTTTTTAGTACGCGAAAAATTTATGAATTTTTCCAACTATTTGCTTTCGAAAAATTACTGACAGGAGTTGTTGACATTCATCCGAGTCCACCAGCTGTCGGTCTCTGGGCACTTGCCCGAAGCTCCATTTAAAGCGCCTGCTGCCTGCAAAGAGAAGAATGAAACGGAAAGAAACATGATGAAGATTGAAGACTTTAAACTAAATAGGTTGCTGAGTCTAGGTGTTACAAGTGGTCAACACGTGACTTCTTCACCTTCAACCCACCACCAATATACAAAATAACTTTCGTACACGGTATTTCGGTCTGTTAGTTGACTTACCTACTACGGTAGTACTACGTAGCTCAACGCAACGCCCAACTTCCCAAGTGACAGATCAAACGAATAAGTTGAAAATTGTTGTTTTCACTTGAAATTAATAATAATTACGGTATCTTGAATGTAGTTCCAAAATTTGTTAGTGCCTTAATAAGTTAATGGTTTAGGTTAGGTTGAAGTTAAATAGTTACTAACAGTACGCCTGGCGGCCTGAAACTCTTAAGTCCAAAGTCGGAAGTCCTCTTGATTTGTATTTTGTAGATGATGTAGGCCTAGATAAAGAAATTTAGAATAAATGATGTTTTCTGTGATCTGTACTTTTTTCTTTTATTGACGATATTATTGTATCCATTTTTCATTGCCAAAAGTTTTTTTCCATTCTGTATCTTATACTGTTAAAAACCCCAAAAAACTTCTATGCCATTGCAGGATTAGAATTTTCCTACTTCTTTCTGAAATCTTGCGGCTTCACTGTGACAAATTTTTGATACATTTCAAATCTTGCGGCCTGATCGTGCATTTTTTTAACAATTATATAGGAGGTAATTCATCTGGCATAAATCTCTTATCTCATGGTTCTGGAAATGGGGTAAACGCGGTATATTCCGACATTGTAGGTAATTCCGTCACCTCTCCAGCTTTTCCTTTATATTAAGCTTTGTTTTAGTTCCATGCGTGCAATACGTATCAGTTAAATTTGAAGCGCTGACGCAATACGACTCACCACGTGTCGGATGTTGCCACACAAAGTGACGGAATATAGGGATTTCGTAGGTTTCCATTCTAAAGGCTTTTTAATAAATATGGCAACATTTTGTGACGTTTCATCGTTGCTGACGTGTAGTGAAGTGTTTTGAGAGTCATGTGAAGGCAACAGAACTTACATAACGCATACGGTTTTTTTTATAGTTTTTGATTTCTCGATGCGTCCTTAATGTGTCGGAATATACCGCATTTACCCTGGCACGCCTGGCAGGAAAGCTCTAGTCATGGCCGATGGCCCTAAGGTTAGAAGTTTTCCATGCTTGTGCCATTGACAACAATCTTGTCTACTGCAAGTTTCATATCAGCATGACCGCATCCAAGCCATATCTGCTTCAGGTGGATGATGTCATGGGCCTGGATTGGGCCATGGCCCATGGCACCAAATTGTAACATGCATTGTGGGATTGGCTGTCATATTTGTTGCATGGTCTAGCTTCCACCTACATTTTCAATCTACTGTGCTTGTCTCTTTTTTTGAAGTTTTTTCTTGAAGATGGGATGCTACTGCACCATTGTAGGATGCCGATGCACTAGTCATTCTCAAGATTATTTAAACAGAAAACTGTACAATGGAATGCATTTCTTCAGTTTATTAGCCAAAAAGCAAAGTTCTCTAAGTTACCACAAGAAGACAAGCATGGGTGGCAGCGATTCATTGTACGACCATCTCATTTGAAACTAAACTAACCTAAACTATTATTTATGTCTTCAAAAAATATGATGGTTGTCACTGAAATATTTCTTTCTGTTTCAGGTGTTTTTACAATTTTTTATTATATATAATAGTAAATTTACTTGACCCAATTAAAATGGTGCAAATATACAAGCCCAGACATGTAAGCTTACAGATGAAGAGAAAATGCTATGAGGCTGCTGATATGATGAATGCAGTGGGCACTGGACAAGTTTGTTGTCAATGCTCAATGGCATGTCCATCAGTCCATGGATACAGTAATATCACATAAATGATAGGATACCTACCGTCAACCGGGGCTACTCGGGACGGTTTTGAGCGTTTTTTGTTAATAACTTCTTACGATGAAACATTTCATAAACAAGTTTAGGCTCATTTTATAGCTCTTTGCGAGGGCTATTGAATGGCATCTTCAAAAAAATTCCATATGCTATTCGTAATCCCCCCCCCGGGTAATTAGGGACACCCTTAAAAATGCATTTACAGTAGAACCTCAGTTAGCAAAAGTTCCAGTTAACAAAAAAATTAATTAACAACAAAGAATTTTGATTACATTTACCTCGCTCAGCGAAAAAAAATTTGCTTATCAAAAAATTAGTGCATCATTGGTCATCACAAAACAAAACATATGATGGTTGTTACTAAAACATTATTTTCTGTTTCAGGTATGTTTTTCACAATCTTTTTTGTTATAGTGAAATCACTTGACTCAATTAAAATTGTGCAAAATTACAAACCATCCTGTAAGCTTACAGATACAGAAGAAATGCTACATGGCTGCTGATATGAAGCTTGCAGTGGACAAGGTCATTGTCAATGCTCAATGGCATGTCCATGGATACAGTAATATTACATTAATAATACGGTAATTAATGAATATGGAAATATAATATCAATAAAGGAAAAACAAGTAAAAATCACAGAAAATGTCATTTATTTTACATCTACATCATCTACTATGAAAGAGGAGGACTTCAGAGTACTGTTAGTAATGAATGAGTACACTCTGCATGCTTCAAACGTTTTAAAATTAACTTTTATTGCAAGTGTCCCGGATAACCCCGTTCCCAGGGGTAAATCGGGACGGTTTTATTTTGCGTCTGGCACCTTACAAATAGCATATGGAATTTTTTTGAAGATGCCATTGGATAGCCCTCGCAAAGAGCTATAAAATGAGCCTAAACTTGTTTCTGAAATGTTTCATGGTAAGAAGTTATTAACAAAAAATGCTCAAAACTGTCCCTTTTTACCCCGTTTGATGGTATCAATAAAGGAAAGAAGTAGTGTGAAGTACAAATCACAGAAAATGTCATTTATTCTGCATCTACATCATCCACAAATTATGTATTTATTGAAATGAAGAGGAGGACTTTGGAATACTGTTAATAATGGGCGAGTATACTCTGCATACTTCCAACATTTTAAAATTAAGTTTTATTTCAAGTGTCACGGATTACTTTGCTGCCAGGGGCATATGGAATTTGTATGAAATTTTTTCCAATAGCATATGAAATTTTTTTGAGATGCCATACCATAGCCCTTGCAGGCTTGCAAAGACCTTTAGAATGAACCCAAACTTGTCTATGAAATGTTTCATGGTAGAAAGTTATTGACAAATATAAAAAAAATGTCCCTTATTACCTCCTTTGATAGTATTTGCATAGTGCCTAATGGAAACTTTTACATTATACACCAATGGTGTTTTGACAAGAAATGACTCATTGCAGGGAGTATCTTGGTCCAGAAAGTCTCCTGAGATGAGATGGCTGGGATTGAGTCTATTCATCATAATCCAAGGATGTTTTAATTGAAACACATATTATTTGTACCATTATTCATGCAATATATACCTCATTGAAGAGAGTACTTTGGCCCATAAAACCTTTAGAGATGGTTGGTATAGAGTGCCTGCCAGCTGAAGTGCTTCAGAAGATTCTGTGTTGCCCACAACTGCGAGCTTCGGACCTCCAGTATTGTGGTGCTGCAATTCCTTGCTTCAGGTAATTTTCATTGCTGTGAACTATGGAATTTGAATTTGAGGCAATTATTTTATTTTAGTCATGATTTGTTACAATTGATATTATTCACTCAACACAATTCACAGATTCAGTCTAATATAATAAAAACAAATGATGAATCTTAAGTTTGAGAATTCCAATTGGGAAAAATTATATTCACAAAATTGTCTGTTTGCTTATTTAATTATTTGTTAATTAATTTTAATTTGTTTGTGTAATAATAACCTAGATGTGCCTAAATGGATTAGAGTTAAATTAGTTGAAGTGAGTAAGTAATTTTTACACATCTCAGTTTTCTAAGTCCTGTATAATCATAATTAACCTCTATTTAATACATGGCATCATGTATATAGTTACGTATATAAATTTGAAAAAAATATTTTAAAATAAATATATTGTTGCTGGTTTTCTCAAATTAAATTACTTTTACCTCTATGTTACCTTGGTACCTATCACTTGTTCAAGAAATTACTGCTTATTCAATTGCAACTGGAATTAACATTATAGCTAAAGGATCAAAATGCTCTTTGAAAGTGAAATATTGTAATGAATATAAAAAAGTAGATGTTTCTTTTTATCCAAGATTAATTCTTGTACCTGCCTGATCACAAGTCATTACTCTTAAAACTAAGCCTAAATATTGAAGAGAAATTATTGAACTCTAAAAATTTCATCAATATAAAACTGACTTATGTGTGTATAATTTTTGCAGGTACATTGTCAAAAGTCCTGGCATATGGCGCAGCAAATTACGGCTGCACTATCCCACTGTGGCCAAAAAAATTGAGGGTACGGAGGTCAATTATGAGGCCTACTACACCCGTCTGTGTAACCAGCTCGAATCCACATGTTCCAACATCATGGCGCTCTCACACGTCTTTGTTTGGTCCTTGTATTATGATTATGAATGGCCGGACATTCCTCAGAGAGCATTGAGACTCTACTTCAATTTGTTTGATAGTGTAGTCGGACCTGACATGAGTAACTACTACTTGCTTGATGAGTGTTACAACATAATCCATGGCGGTGACCCAAATAGAGAACTCACACTCAAGTACTATGCAAGGAAAATCTTTTATTTTCTCAACAAATCCATTCATTTTGGAGTTTTCACTCAGTTTGATAACATTTCCAGCAAAAAGAAACCTGAGAGTGGCAAAACTGCATCACAGTTTAGCTACTACAAAGCAGCTTATGAGCTTGCAACCATTATTCCTATGCACGAGCGAGTAATGACTGGTGAACTCATGAGTGGTCTGAGAGATCTCACCTCTTGTGTGGATGAAGCAATTCTACAGAGCCGGCCAAGACTGTTCAAAAGCAACATTCTCAGAGTTGATTACTCTGACATCACCAATGCCAGAGGGACCGGTGTTTTCAGCGGGTCAGACTGTGCTTTCATCTTGAAGCAGATTCATGACTGTGTCTACCATGAGCGAAAGATGCATGATAATTTCAAGTCAGTGTACAACGGTTACAGATTCCGCCTTGACACTGTAATGATCTCAGGTGTGGGAGACAGAAAACTACTGGTGACTATTGAGGCCATCTTGTGCCAGCATTACGGTATCTCGTTTGAGGTACATGATGATGGTAAGGGGAACTGGAGAATTTGTTACTCTGGATATGATGGAAGTACAGGATATTGCCACTGTCCTTCCTGTCCATCATCAAGTGATGATAATGATGGTGGCTGCCAGAACAACATTGTGGTAACTGAACTGCACTTTGAGAGCTCCATTCTTCAAGCCTTGGTTGACAAGTTTGAAGCAAATTTAAAGAACGAATGGCAGTTTGCTGGAGGTCCTACTGTCTACAATCTGTTGAACGAGGAGACGTACATTTACTCCATGCGTTCAATCTTCAGTGCATGGCGATATGTTGAGCACTGGAAAATTGCTGAGCTACGACACTACACTGAACTACTGAGTCGTGTGTCAACTGATGATGCTGTGCCTGGCAAAATGCTTCACCTAAATATTCTTCTCAGAGTTTGCTCCAACTACACCCTTGAAACTCTCACCAACTTCAGGCGAGAGCTTGTGCATCCGCCATCAGGTGGGTCTTTATGTAACAATAAAAACTTATTCCAATATTGATGACAACTGGTTAATATATATACTACCGGTATATTTATACCTTAACCGAAAGTTGAGAAAATTTTTTGCTTTAGAATTCCATTTCAATATTGATTTCTATGCTTGAAAATAGGTACCAGTACCTTAAAAAAATTCATTCACAACTTATTTATAATCAAATTTCAATATTAACAAACTGGCCAATGGACATTTAATGAAAAAAACTCGTATATGCTTCACTTTTAAATTCAATTTCAATATTGATTGAGAAGTTGACCATTTTAATCATAAATTTCTGCAAAATCTTAACACCAATAGTTGATTGCTCATAGCTGTTTTCCCATAGAATGCAAAACTCTTTTTGAATGTGATCTCATAAAATCTTTTATTATGACCAAAATATTCTGCAGACTAGCATATTTATAATAGTGACCACCCTCACCTAATTGTTTTCCAAAGGCTGCTTAAAGGCTCAGTTAACTGAATATTTCTTCAAGATATTATGATGTTCTATTTATTTATCTTGATATTTTACTCAAGCTTGAGGTTAGGGATAATATTATCTCAAATTAAATATTATAAGTTAATAAAATCTTGAATACTATTTCTTTCAAGAACTTACTGCAACTTTATATTTCTGTATTGGAATACATTTAATTGTTTAGCTGATGTTGAATGCCATGCATTTGTTCAGGATCTTTAAGATCCCGTTATTTTATTGCCAACTTGTGAGTTATAACATACAAAATGCAACATATATGGTGTTATATCCAATTCATATGATGTACAATTAAATCCATATCATATTCAAATGATGTATTAATAAGTCCATATCATATTCATATAATGTATACCTAATTAAATCCATATCCTATTCATATAATGTATTAATAAATCCAAATCATATTCATATGATGTATAATTAAATCCATATCCTATTCATATAATGTAAAATTAAATTCAGAATCTACCTCGAGTGTATGATGCATATTACATATGTGATGCTAAGAAATATTTAATAAATCTAAAGCTTTTATTGGTTGCAGGTATACGGGACCTGCAGGGCATCGTGGCGAGCGTGAACATCCGTGCGAGGGCGCGGCTGCAGGAGCTGAAGGCGATGCTGGAGGCGGGATACCAGAGGAAGTGCTACTTCCTGGTGAGTAGGAGGAAAGTAGGACTGGTTTCTTGTGTGTAGGAGGAGAGTAGGACTGGTTCCTCGTGAGTAGGAGTAGAGTAGGGCTAGTTCCTCGTGAGTAGGAGGAGAGTAGGACTAGTTCCTCTTGAGTAGGAGGAGAGTAGGACTGGTTCCTCGTGAGTAGGAGGAGAGTAGGAGTAGTTCTAGTAGTTCTCCTCCTACTCGGGAGTAGGAGGAGAGTAGGACTAGTTCTAGTTCCTCGTTAGTAGGAGGAGAATAGGACTAATTCCTCGTGAGTAGGACGAGAGTAGGACTAGTTCCTCGTGAGTGGGAGGAGAGTAGGACTAGTTCCTCGTGAGTAGGGGTGAGTAGGACTAGTTCCTCGTTAGTAGGAGGAGAGTAGGACTAGTTCCTCGTGAGTAGGAGGAGAGTAGGACTAGTTCCTCGTTAGTAGGGGTGAGTAGGACTAGTTCCTCGTTAGTAGGAGGAGAGTAGGACTAGTTCCTCGTGAGTAGGAGAGTAGGACTAGTTCCTCGTGAGTAGGACGAGAGTAGGACTAGTTCCTCGTGAGTGGGAGGAGAGTAGGACTAGTTCCTCGTGAGTAGGAGGAGAGTAGGACTAGTTCCTCGTTAGTAGGAGGAGATTAGGACTAGTTCCTCGTGAGTAGGAGGAGAGTAGGACTAGTTCCTCGTGAGTAGGAGGAGAGTAGGACTATTTCCTCGTTAGTAGGAGGAGAGTAGGACTATTTCCTCGTTAGTAGGAGGAGAGTAGGACTAGTTCCTCGTTAGTAGGAGGAGAGTAGGACTAGTTCCTCGTTAGTAGGAGGAGAGTAGGACTAGTTTCTTGTGAGTAGGAGGCAGGGTTGGCAATGATTAAATCATGTGATCAAATCACTTACTTTTTTTCATAAAAAAACCATGATTTTTTTCTACATATTTAAATTTATTGAGTGGCAGTCTTTAATTTATTTTAATGTATTTTTATTCATGGTTTAGTGTAAATGTACTATGACAAATTGGAATATAGACCTGTTGCCTTTAATCTTGGTGTGTATTTCATTCTCGTGAATTGTACGTTTTTGGTACAGAGGCATCAAGTGTTGCAATACATTGTACATAGTTAGCAGCTTAGCTAATTCTTATAAGGCTATAAGTAGTCTATAACTAACTATTTGACTATTTGTTATATATTAATCACATTATACAATTTACATGTGTTAGCTAGCTTATATAATAAGGGTTGGTTGAGATTGTATTGACCTTTTAGGCATTTACAGGGTCCACCATATTTATGGCAACGCATGTTTTTTTTATTATTTCTCAATGAAACAAACAGGTGCATTGTTTTTCTATTGGATGAGCTAGTAGCCAAGAATTACCTAAACAATTCTCAGACATATTTAGTCAATATGACCACCCTTATTTTTAATGACGGCCTCCAATCTACGTGGGAAAGCTTCACAGGAGACGCGCAGCATTTCTTGAGGGATCAAGTCCCATTCTCATGTCAATTTAGACTTCAAACTATCCAAAGAATCATGAGGTGTTCTGCAGACCCTGCTCTCTAAAATAGCCTACATAGAAAAGTGGAGAGGATTCAAATCAGGGCTTCTTGAGGGCCATTCATTTCTGTGATGAACGCTGGGATGAAATGAACGCATGGATGTGACCCTGAATCCAGTTTTGGGTCATGTTTGAGTCATTTGATGGGACAGAGTCTTGTTGAAAACTCCATGGTGAGCCTTTGAAGTGTTTACGGGCCCAATGTAACAACACAGCTTCAAAAATGTCCGAAATGTATCGCTGACTGTTCAATTTCACTCCTGAGGGGACAAAAACGAGTGGGGACCTCCCAGTGGCGGTTACCGCGGCCCAAACCATTACGGACATGGGATTTGACGTCGTGTTTCTGTTCTGGTTGCCACAGATCTATCCCGAATCCAAACTCTGTCATTTTGACGGTTAACGCTTTGTTCAATGTCAAATTTGTTCTCGTCACTGAACACCAAGTTGGGCAGCGTGCCATCCTCAATGAGATCCAGAATGTGCTGGCATCTTTCGAGCCTCATTCGTTCATGACGGTCTGTTAGTTCATGCCTTGTTTGCATCTTGTAATGGGAGGTTTTGTGGTCATCTTTGACGACTCTACGCATTGATGTCTGACTGACTCCTGCTTCTGCAGCCAATTTTGCAGCTGAGCGACGAGGGTTTTTCCTCAACTTCCCCCTCGTGTTTTTGACCAATTGTTTTGTTCGGACACTTCGTTTCCTTCCTTGGCCAGGTCGATTGCATGTTTCATCAGTTTCCTTGAATTTTTTACCACCTTCCACACAGTTTCACGACGAATTTGGAGCTTTTTGCAATGACTGAATTACTCTCACCCTTTGCATTTCTATCTACTGCCATAAGTAATAGTAAATTAGGCACCTTAGATGAATTAATAGATGATATTAAGCTTCATTATAAAAGAAAAGTCTCCCAGAAACCAATTTATTTTATATAGCAAACATCCGGTGCCATAAATATGGCGGGCGCTGTAGAAAGATTTTCCACTCTAATATGAGTACCGTCAAGTGGGGTGACTTCGGCCACCACTACAACGGAAACAAATGGCAGCAAAACAAAATAATAAATGTTGACCAAAGTGCCTGGGGTGACTTTGGCCTCCGGGGTGACTTTGGCCAACGTTTATTATTTAGTTTTGCTGCCATTTGTTTCTGATGTAGTGGTGGCCGAAGTCACCTCACTTGACGGAATTCTAATTAAAATATTTAATTTCAATCTTTAAATATGTGAATTTGTAACTAAAAACAATTAAAATTAGAAAACTATATTTAAAATAATTAAATGCAGTGAATGGAAATAAAATGTTTGAATTGTGTACCACATGTTTATTTCAAAGTGTTAGCTTTTCTCATAACATAAGTCTTGTTTCAAGTCGTTTGAGGTTTGTTTGGTTGTCGTTCAGTTTGTTTAGTATTGGTTTATTAGTCTGAATCGAATGGGAACAGTGCAGTCAGTCACTGGGTACTAGTCGGTGTGTTTAGAGGGTAGAGTCTGGTAGATTTATAGGACATAAAACTAGTAGATCTATTGGAAGTGTTGTGCTCTGTTGACTGTGCCATCAGCTAGGTACCTATCTGTTATGTGACTATTCAATGTTTAGAAGATCAGCATTCCTGAAGTGTTTTTTTGTATATTGAAGCCAGTTAAATGGTCAACATTTAGCTCGTTAATTTCTTCCATACAAACTGTACAAAGCTAATGAATAGACTTATCAATAATTATTATTATTTTTTTCTAATCAATATCAATAATCAATAATTGTTTACCCAAAAGTCCCCAAGTGGTAAACACCGCCAGTGACCACATTGGCCATTCTAGAAGGCAATAACTGCCCTTTTTAGCCATCCATACACTTTTATTGTTAGTAGGCTAATTGCAACATAAAAAAATAAAATTTCAAAAAAGACAAAAAAGCTGAAAAAATCAAATAAATAAAAAAATCTTTGATTTTTTATTTATTTGATTTTTTTAAATAAAAAGAATCACCAACCCTGGTAGGAGGGGAGTAGTACAGTTCCTTGTGAGTAGGAGAGTAGACGTCTTGGTGAGTATGAATTATTGAAATGCAATACATTTTTCATATGCCACATCAATAAGTAACATGCAATATAAACAGTTATTTATAATAAACATGTTTTATTTGCAGGCCACATTTCACCCTCGCCAATCGCGGCCGTGGCCCCACGGTTGGCCTGGCAGCGACATGGTGCAGAAGCGACGCGTTGACCGAAAAAGTTGGCACGTGCAGTTTGCCGTGGGTCAAGTTGTCGAAATCCGCCGCAAGATCTGCGTTGCCAACTGCTGCTGTCGCCTCCCACAAAACCGGACCAAAAATCGTTCATTTTGCACCATGCAACGACCTAGGTTAGTCTAAATGGGATCGTACATTGTTATTTTCCCATTGATAGTCTTAACTACAACCCCAGGTTTATTTAAAATTACTCTAGTAGATTGGAATGCATCTGTTGTGGCCAATCTGTGAAAAAATTATTGTCAAAATATTGTGGAACTCAAAATGTATGTACATAATCAAGTTCATGTTGAAAATTAAGTTTCAATTGCGTTTCTGGTTTCCAATTACAATACCATATAATCTTTGCTATTATCTATAGTTTGTTGTATACTGATGTCATTGGCACGACTGCAGACATGGGACGGTCTCTGATGACGCGGGTGGAAGTTCATCGACTGGCAATTCTAACAGCAGTGGCTCTACTGCTACTCTCAACACTCCGACAAATTCTACCATCTCTAAAGATTCTACAGACTCTACAGATTCTACAGACTCAACAGACTCTCCTTCCCCTTCAAAGCGCTACCAAGCTGACTGTGATGGCGACGACACATGTGAACCCCCGCGTAAATTGGAATGCAAACGGAATTGTACACCTGAAGACTGTACCCGTCACGGGGTTGAAGAGAAGCCCCCATGCCTATGTGTAATATATGACTGGGATTCAATGTGTGTAGAGAGTGAAGAAACATTACTGATTATGGGGGAAAGTTGTCTTGCGTTAGGCACAGACCAGCCCTTCTACCGAGTTCTGTTAGACGACGGCTCAGCAAGATATGTCGCTCAAGAGGCTCTCTCGCACACTAGTAACCCTAGGCCTATCAGAAACCCGCTCATAGGCCGGTACTTTAGAGCCTACGTCCATCCTTACTATATTCCCAACATACAGAAGGCGTACGAGTATCCTGAAGACGCCACCGTCAGAGAACAGGATGCCTTCGTACCCTTACTAATGTGATTCAGCATACGTTCGTGGCCCAGTGTTTTCTGTCGTTTTTATGTGTTGCTTCTATCCGAAAATTCGAAAGAACAAATCAACCTTATCATTTGATAAATTGGAATGAGTATTCCTTGCTCGTTGAAAGTCCGAATAAATAATCCTTTCATTTTGGTAACTCGTGTGACATATTACTGTTTAATTCAGTTCATGCAGTACAGTGCCTTGTTTATAAGCAATGTTGAATGACGTTGTGAGAATTATGATCTATGTGAAATTCAGCCGAATTATTTCAATTGGCCTGAATGATGTTGTTTATTCAACAATTAGGCTCGTTAATTACCAATCCGATGTGATAAATCAAGCATTGGTAGGTGTAGAAATATACCTATAGTGTACGTATAATAATAGCTCGCTGGAATTACCTTAAATAGGGAGAAACAGATATAGGATTGCATCTTTTTTATTAATTGTAAACACACATTGACACCCTTTTCAGCATTCAAAATTGCCGTTCTGACGGACAGGAAGTGGATAACTACATAAAGTTTAAATGTGTTGGGTAAGTATTATGTAAACGTTTTCTCACATATAAAGAAATATTGCGTATAAATATCTCCGCAAGAAGGCAGATATTAGAGTTCTGCATCTACGTATAATGACACGTGTACCTATGTACGTGGGTACATACACGTACGCAACAGTTACATACAGTGGGGGGAAATAAATATTCGTACACTTGAAAAATCGTATTTTAATGTATGTAAGTACACAAACTTAACAGCAAAAGTGATTTAAATTATGTATAGAGACGCATAGTTTAAGTTTGTGTACTTACATACATTAAAATACGATTTTTCAAGTGTACGAATATTTATTTCCCCCCACTGTATGTACCAATGGCTCGCAGGTACCTTAGCATGCATGCAAGGATTTATTGTTGCAGGTGCTATGATGCCGGTATAGTTGATATTTAATCAGTTATGGTGCGCAAGGATTCCCATAGTTTATATATTACGTATATTTTGATGATATTTCTAGCACTTGATGATCTTTATTCAGGCTCAGGTATTAAGGGACAATAGTATATAGATGAATGAATTACAAACACATCTATATAGATGTAAGAATACCTTTGTTATGCAAGTGTTGTTGCATAACGGCTATTTTATAATAATTATTAATATTAATAACTTTCATTAGTATTTTTTTTCAACGAGTCGACCGATATTTTTCGCCGGCGTTGGTAGATCAAAAGGCAGGTTAGTTAAAAAGATATTTTACTGGAATACAAATTTTATATTTTGGTACTATATTCATGAAATCGTACGAACAAACTAAACATTAAATTCTTTAACTGCATTCAGTATACTGCTCGTTTGTACTTTTGTCCCTTCTAAATATAAAATTTTGTTTTTTATCAATTCTTAAATTTGTTCTTTTTTACATGTTGTACAACCTTTAATTACTTAATAATGAATATTGTATATCCGAACTTCATATTCTATTAAAATGTCTATTTATAACCTGCATTTTGATCTACCAAAAAATATCAATAAAAGATACTAATAATTACTAAAAAAATATTCGTTATGCAATAACATTTGCAAAACTTAAGTATTCGTTAATCTATACAGATGTGTTTGTAATTCAATCCTGTATTTCCTAATGTCTCCCAAATACCTGGACATGTACCGGTACCACATGCTGGTGACTGGTTTTATGAAGGTGGTGCCGGCGTGCTTGTAAGTGCCTCATGTAAACAGGTAGGTACAGGCGTCCGCTCTCAATCAGACGTCTGATTTTATTCATTATAATTGAATTGTAATGGTAATCACTAGACGTGGTGCAGATTGGTGAAAGAGTAGACCTGAGTCAGCATGGACAACATCACGTGATCAAAACCCCTGTAGTGGGCGGAAGCCGCGACTATATAAAAGGGTTAGGAACTTTAGTAAGGCCCCTCAGTAGCTAACAAGTACGCACGCCGCAATGTTACTAGCGTTCGAGCCACGGTACTCCTACCTACGGGCCACTAGCCTAAACCTGAATCGTATCTCGTATATTACCACCCCGTAAAAGAGATAAATTTCTCCAGCCTGGAGGCGCCTCCGGTAGAAGCGGCACCCGAACAGCCGGAACAGGTTGATTAATGATGACACACCATGTCCCTGGTCGGACGCCTACTGCCCGAAAGCACGTTTACGCACCTTCAAACTTCCCATACATTTCTATCTGAAGCTGAGGACAGAAGTTCATTGATTTAATGCGTGAGGATAAATAAGACACCATCTGTCTAGAGAACTTATCTTGATACGGGGTGGTAATACACGAGTGATAATGATTAGTATAGGTATTACTAAGGATCTCAAAATCGGGAATTTACGTATGATTAACGTGATCGCGATTAACGCGTGATCTCGTCCATGCTGACTTAAGTCCACTTTTCCATCAATCCCACTTCTGGTGATTATTACAACGCGAGTATTAATAAATGAATCGAAATGTTGCTTTAAGCATGAGTACGTAAATTTTGCAGGCAGAAATAACCTCAGAATGGTAGCAGGTACGTACGTATCTCAACATGTAAGCAGGTACGTACATGCCGAGATACTTACGTGCCTGCAGCACCTACGTACCTGTTTACATGCCGAGGTACTTACGTGTTTGCAGTACCAAAGTACCATATATTGATGATCATGGAAATTATTGCATTAGAAAACTATGCAACTTCCCCGATCTACCACTAGGCATATAATAAGAATAATATTTCAAGTAAAATTGCTGGGTTAAATTGTACCTGCAATAAAAAATATTCAAAATTACGAACAAAAAAATATAATCATGTGCAAGACAGCCTGGCAATTAAAAAATAACTAGTCGCTTATGAAATGAGAATTAAATTTAAAATGAATTGTAATTTATATCGTTCGAAAAGATCAACTAAAAAATAAAATGTAAAAACTTTCTCCAATATCTGTTTGTTTGTTTTTATACCCGTTCTAGATTCTACTTAAGCAATAAAATTATTGTAGATTTGGGTCAACATCGATGGTTTCACAGTTTTGATATTTCAACACAAATTGAAAAAACTGAGAAGTAGAAGAAACAGAATTGTAATCATGATGGGAATGACAGCGTATGACAACGCTAGTACTAGTATGTACTAGTAGTAACGCTAGTACTAGTATGGCAACGCTCATACTAGAGCGCATCATGACTAGAATAGAAAACACAATGACTAGAATGCTCATACTAGAGTGAATCATGACTAGAATAGAAAACACAATGACTAGAACGCTCATACTAGAGTGCATCATGACTAGAAAAGCGAGACAGCTCGGTCATAAACCTAAACTCCTAGCGTATGGTCCTCGTTTACATTAAATAGACAAATATTATATTCATTCACATTAACAATAATATAATAGTTTAGAACATTCATGTACATTAGTGAATAACCATCAATAACACAGAGGTACTCTAATCTATGACCTTAGAACGAGATAGAATTAACTAGAAGAAATAGAATGTGTTAAACATTGACGCTTATTCATACTCTACAATAGAAATTGAACGAACAATAAAATTTATGCACGTAAATTTTGGAATGTAAATGTACTTCAAAATTATGATATGAAAAAATATAACCCAGTACTCACAGCAGTGAGTGACAGAGAGCGCATTTTCTCGCCGACGAAAACGTGAAGTCACGGACGGACGGACATGACGAGCACAATAGCGCCTTTTTTCCATAAATGAGAAAATGTGCTAAAAATAGAATAATTTCTTTCCGCCAAAAAGAAATTGCATACTTCAGGTCAAATTTCGTTTTGCAAGAACGGAAATATGGGATATGGCGAAAAAAAAAACTTTCTGAACATTCAAATTTCAACGAGTTCCATATTATTTGAGCTGACTTTTATATCGATTTAATACTTGTGACGAGTTAGCACTTGAATGGACGTTTGAGACTTCAAGATCTTCATTTGACGGAAATTTGCTAAGCTATATACAGAGTGATTACCTAGTAATTATTACCGCTATCTAGCACCTGACAACTAGGAAATCGAAGAGAAGCGAATCGTTTGCGTTCTAGGAGTGTTGATGAATACTCAGGTCAATTTTGGTGATCACATACCGGCAATAACCGCAAGAGGTAGGCGACAGATGGGGTGGATCTGGCGGACGTTCAAAACAAAAGAAGCGGAACCAATGATCACACTCTTTAGAGCCCTTGTAATACCTATCCTTGAATACTGCTGCCAGCTCTGGACCCCGTTCACACTCGGTGCAGTGCGGCAACTGGAAGGCGTCCAGCGAACCTTCACTTCCAAGATCAAAGGGAATGAAGAGGGGTCTGTAGTCAGCGACTGGGTCTGTACTCACTGCAGAGGAGACGGGAGAGGTATGTCATTCTGTACACATGGAAGATATTAAGCGGAATGGTGCCAAACTTCGAGAGCGAGATCTTCAGGATTGAGACATATCACAACGAGAGAAGGGGGAGACTGTGCAAGATCCCCCCACTACGTAACAGAACTGCAGTCAGATTTCAATCCCGTGGCAGGGCCGAGGCTGTTTAACGTCCTACCAAAGGATCTAAGAGAGGGGGAGTTCACCCTGGAGACCTTCAAGAGACAACTGGACGTGTTCCTGGGCACAATCCCAGATCGACCTCCCCTGCAACAATACCAGCGACGAGAAGCAAGCAACAGCATCGTGCATCAGGTGGCCCAAATGAGGGCGGATGAACGATAATCAGAGGCGGCGATCCGTCATGGCCTGGGACTGCTACGTCCCAAACAAATACCAAGGATACTGAAGAGATCGACTGAAGCCAATAGGTACCACTGATATCACTGTATCAGCTGTATGTATCATTGTATCAGTATGCATCATGTGGCGAGTGAGGGGAGTGTGCGTGTGCCCTCAGTCGCTGTCCTCGTGAGGGCGCGTGAGGGGCGTGCGCGTGTCCCCTCAGTCGCTGTCCTCTCAGCATTAAAGAGGTGCACCACAGCATTAAAGAGGTGCATCGCAGCATTAACAGTGTGACAATAGTGGGTCAATAGTGTGACAATAGTGTGGCAATAGTTGATCAAAAGTATGGCAATAGTGGGTCAATAGTGCGTTAATAGTGGGTCAATAGTGGGACAATAGTGTGACAATAGTGTGTCAATAGTAAGAAAATAGTGTCAATAGTGAGATAATAGTGTGTCAATAGTGAGGCAATAGTGGGTCAACAGTGTGTTAATAGTGTGACAATAGTGTGTCACTAGTGAGACACCCACCAAGTATGGAGCGACTGGAAGGCGAGTAGACATAAGCCATGGTCAGGAGGTAGACATTCACCAGCCCGTAGAATGTCATGAACTGCACCGACGAGCTGTCGCCACACATACAGAAAATGTAATTCAAACATATAATTATTTTACTTTATCATAAGATCAAATAATTTATTAATTAGTTTCAATTAATTGAAATTCTTGTTTATTAATTATATTCTTATATAGTATAAATATATAATATACCTAGTATTATAATTTTAAAAATTCATCTGACATAATCTGAACATTCAACTTTAGCAAGAACGTTGGGCCACTGACCTGTAGTGGGTGTGTTACTGACCTGTAGTGCGTAGGTTACTGACCTGTAATGGGTGTGTTACTGACCAGTAGTGGGTGTGTTACTGACCTGTAGTGGGTGGTTTACTGACCTGTAGTGGGTGGTTTACTGACCTGTAGTGGGTGTGTTACTGACCTGTAGTGGGTGGGTCACTGACCTGTAGTGGGTGTGTTACTGACCTGTAGTGGGTGTGCTACTGACCTGTAGCGGGTTGACAGGTCGGCCACAAAGTTGTCCTCCAGGACCCCAACACCGAAGTTAGCGACCAGCACTGCCATGACGACGCAGGCGACGCTCAAGAGCAGCAACGTGGCGAAACGCAGCCGTAAATCTGCAAGTATTATAAGATGAAATAAGATGGATGAATGGGCTTAAACTGTAACTAGTAAGATCAACGAGTAACTTGTGAGAGCAAACTGGGACATAAGATGTGACATTAGATTAGACTGTGCAGTGTGCATTAAATTAGAAATTAAATTACTTTAGACATTACATTATATAAGACTTAAACATCATATCTGGCAGGATCATAATACAAAGAAAGTAATTCACGACGACTATTCATTGATAATTTAAAGAAAGTATTTCAAGGCGACTATTGAGACGTGCAGGCAAGAAATCATGGACAATTTGTTTGCGTGGGTTGGTGTAGTTTGCCTTGATTTAATCTTTAACAACAGGAATATCCAACAACGCTCCCTCAACAGCCTTAACATTAGGCAAGCCCTCCCAATGGGAAGGACAATGACATGTGAAAGGAAAGAGAGATCAAATTAAACTAGGGGTTGCGTGAAGAATAGGTGAGGAGAAAGAATATCTAGTGAGATGAAAGTTTGACTAGTGATTTCAAGCTGGAACTGGTGGGATGGAAAGAGAACTGGTGAAATGGAAAGAGAACTGTTGAAATGGAAAGAGATCTGTTGAAATGGAAAGAGATCTAGTGAAATGGAAAGGGATCTGGTGAAATGGAAAGGGAACTGGTGGGATGGAAAGAGAACTGGTGAAATGGAAAGAGAACTGGTGGGATGGAAAGAGATAAATTAGATTGTTTTCTACGGAAAAAATGTAAATGGAGGGCCATGTTAGGCACGTTTTTTTCTGTGAAAGCAGTCAGCGTGAAATCACTATTGAGATTCAGGTAAAAATATTTCAGTATAAAACATAGTCTATTTAAACATATAAATTAACAAAATGACATTCTAATACCTTGGTAATGATGAAATAATATAAAAAATATACATTCAAATATGTAAATCTGACGAACTTACCGAAGTAAGGCATGGAACGCAGTTCAGAGTATGCTCGAATAATGAGGTAGATGAGGTAGAGCAAGTAGATAGCACCGGCCGAGTAGAAACAGAGCTTGAAGGCGTAGAAGTGATTAGTTTCAGCCGCTGCTGAGTAGAGCGGGTTGTGTAACTCGTGTTGCTTCTGCACACACGCCGCCACCACCACCACACACCACAGCCACCCAACCAGCACCAATTTCGGCAGGAAGAAGGAGCGAAGCGATCGGTCGTTCTGTACAAATTTGTATAGTGACAATTATGTATACACGTAATAACCACCATGAAATAATCATCAATGGATCATCAACCGTGTCAACTTCAATAACACATCAGTATACAATTTCAGTACTATACCGGTATATAATTAAAACGAGCGTTAAATGAGCTCAAATCTTGTTTAGAAACAGGCATAGATCCATCATCGTACCTCCAGTGCAAACACTGTTACACCATATCCAGAGCTACCTACACCTCACCAACAACACAGCTCCATTACCACTACCACCACCACCACCCAGCTACACCTCACCAACATCCATACCACACCACCTACACCTCACCACCGTCCATACCACACCACCTACACCTCACCACCGTTTATACCACACCACCTACAACTCACCACCACCACCACCCACACCACCTACACCTCACCACCGTCCATACTACACCACCTACACCTCACCAACACCACCACCCACACCGTCTACACCTCACCACCGTCCATACCACACCACCTACACCTCAACACCACCGCCCACACCACCTACACCTCACCACCATCCATACCACACCCCCTACACCTCACCACCTACACCTCACCACCTACACCTCACTACCTACACCTCACCACCTACACCTCACCACCTACACCTCACCACCACCACCCACACCATCTACACCCACACCACCTACACGTCACCACCACACCACCACCTGTCTCAGGCCGTGGTATATACAGAGCCAGAAGAGCAGCAGTGCGGCCATGAAGCTGCTCTGCAGAAGAGAGTCTACAAAAGTCGGCACCCAAGAGTCCATCAGGAACACCAGCGGGAACAGTGGATCTGCCACAGACGCTCACTTTAGTCACATGGTACATTAACATCTATGCAATATTTTAAACTGTACAAAATGTTTTACCTGTTCAATTTGTTCTACTTATGAAATATGTTCAACCTAAGCCATACGTTCAATTTATGAAATATGTTGAACTATGCAATACGTTAAACTTATGCAATATTTTTAACTTGAGCAAAACGTTTAACCAACGGGTGGGAATAAATAAAAATCTTATACAATGCATAAACTTTGTATGATTTAAACACATCTATCTACAGTAATTTAAGGCAGTCATGAAATAAAAGAATTGCAATAAATTCAGATTAAAATCTAATCTCAAGATATTGAATGACTAAGTTTTAAAGTTTATAAATGTTTACCTAAATTACAAGCAAATAATGTATAAACTAAAACTTCAATGATTTATATAAAACGAGAATCAACTTCCATAGGTATCAAGAAACACATAAAGGAAAAACTCAAAAATAACTGAATTTTAAACGAAAAGTCCAGGCGAATAAAATTTAGACCTACAATCAAGTTGCGACATTGCTTCAGCTAAAAAAAAGATTTGCTGATTAAACTTTATTCAAAGTTATAACAATCAAAAGTGCAACAACTTTGCTCATTGCATGACTGTACTTTCGTTTTTAAATCCCATGTTCATTATCTTTACTGCAACATATGCAGCAGAATTTTTCACTAAGATTTGATTAAATACCTACTATAAACAAAAAAGATTAACTACGTACTAGAGTACAGTGTAAACAATAAAACACGACCCTTGCTAGAATATGATAAAGCACAAGCATGAAACATGGAATATTAGTATAGGGTAGCAGAATTTGTTCTTGAAGTTTGATCGAAAACAAGACAAGTTTGATTGAAGACCAGAGAATGAGTTTAATTTATTATCTTCATTCTCTGTTCTTCACTGAAACTTATTTAAAAGAAATGTGTAGGCATTCTTACTGTTGTAGAATATAAGTGTAGGCAGCAGTACACTTATCCACGCCTGCTCCAGTGACCAGTCACAGAACGGGTACTTCCGTAAACTGTGGCCCATCCAGCACTGAAACACGGGGAAGACGTTACTTCATAAATGAAAAGGTAAGGTTCCATTAGTTTAGTTGTAGTCAGTTCAGAGGTAGTTCTGGCAACCCTGATTAGTTGTAGCTAGTTTTGGCAGCCATAACTCAAGTGGTAGCTAGTTTTGGCGCCACGAGTTTCTTGGTATCCGGTTTGGCTAGGGACGAATCTACTAGCAAGAAAATCAACAGTATTGAGTTTTCAGGGACCTTACGAACTTACTGCTATTTTTGATACCTGTAGTACGGCCCCTGCCAAATCAAATACACATAATCAAAAAACTATATGTGACACTTAGCACCATAATAATAAACATTTAGGACCCAATAGCGATTCTCATAATATACATGGGTGCTGGCAACAGTTTTGTATAAATATCTTTTACCAACTCGAAATTTCCAAGTACTTTTAGTATGAATTCAAATATTTTATAGGAATTTGGCTTCACTCACCGTAGCGCAGAACGCCACCAAGAGGAAGATAAAACGCACCCAAATCTGCACCTTCATGAAGCTAGGGTTGTACGTCTTGTACTGTAGTGAAATAATTGAAATTACAACATATACAAATAGAAATTATCACACCGTTATATTCTCATTTCCACAACCGACTTTCCGTTTCGCTGCCTGATAACATCATGCAACCATATTCAAGTGACACCAGTGTATCGAAAATTGTAATACAAAAAAATCAATCACATTATTTAATGGTTAAGAGCCCTGGAGAAACTATTTATCTAACGAAGTCCATCTCAGATATTTGAATTAACAACGTCGTTCGGTAAAACACGATGAGAGAATTGGTTCACTCAGAACTGAACAAACATCCTACAATAGCCATGCAGCTGGTGCCAGTTAATGCATGTAATTGCTGAATATCCAATGATTGTTAATAAAAATTAATTTTATCTGATTGTTAATAAAAATCAATTTTATCATTTTAAATTCATCGATAATAGTGATGAATATTTTCCTTAATACACACTTCAGAACTTGGAAATCAACAAAAAAATCTAGCTGTTCATGCATAGTAATTCGGGCCATGACAACAAAGGCTGAAATATCCCTTCAATTTTAAATATATTACACTATAAATAAACGTATAAACAATTATCTCTTACATAAAAGATAACGTCTGTGACTCGTGTCCAGGAAACGATGTCCTCAAGGCCATGGAAGCGCATGAGTACGATGAGGTGAGAGTGGGTCAGGTAACTCAGGTGAAGAACTGTGATGGGATCACAGCCTTCCACTGCACCACACCGCAGCTCACGAGACCTGACAGAGAACGAGGTCTGCTCAGTCTGGTACAGATACCTGACACAGCAGATTACGAGACCTTTTGTGTCGGTTGCCAATACTGAAATACAGTTATAGCACAGCAGCTTACGCGACCTGACAGAGAACGAGGTCTGCTCAGTCTGGTACAGATACCTGACACAGCAGATTACGAGACCTTTTGTGTCGGTTGCCGATATTGAAATACAGTTATAGCACAGCAGCTTACGCGACCTGACAAAGAACGAGGTCTGCTCAGTCTGGTACAGATACCTGACACAGCAGATTACGAGACCTTTTGTGTCGGTTGCCAATATTGAAATACAGTTATGGCACAGCAGCTTACGAGACCTGATGTGTCAAGTAGCCGAGATTAAATAGGTTTAAAGGATTGTAACTCGAGACCGGACGAATGAGCTTGTTAGCAGCTGCTTATCAGTAAGAGCGTAAACACAAGCAGTTTTTCACGTTGTGCATGAGTGATTGAAGGTTGAAGCTAGCAACTGAAGGTTGAAGTAACGATTGAATGCTTGATAGTTGATCGACATAAACACTTGAAGTCACCCCATTTTCCTTGAAAAGCGATAAGCAAATTCTCACTACACTATTTGAGTAACCGTGAAAAAATCGGTGTGATCAGCGTTATAGTGGCCGGCCGCACCTTGAAAAAAAAACCGTTTTGCGCCATTTTTTTAAATTGTCAGTTCCTTGTGTTAAATGAAAAAAAACGGCAAGACATTGTTTATTTTACAAGCCGGCTGGCCACTGAAATGCCGGAAAGACAGTTTTACGGCTATTTTACAAACATTTTTTCGATAATTTAAAAGAGTTTGTGCTAACTCTGACCTGTTGTGAGGCGTGTCACTGATGGACGAAGGGTCCGACAGATCTGTTGGGACGCCCTCGATAGACACGCTCAACTGGAATGACTTCTTGAAGGATTCATCTGTGGAAATATCAACTCAGTTTTTTGCACGCAAGAATGGCTAACTTGAGAATATTTCTAAGTGAATTTCTCCTGTACTTGCGTGTTGTGGTCACTTGCACATTTGCACCTTAGTTCAATGAATGGAAGTTTTGCACATTCACTAACATCAAAATGAATGCATAACTACCTACACGTTTCTTCATTTACATAGCTATTATTAAAATATTGCCCAAACATTACCAGTTGCAAATGAATGTGTATATATAATCCACAGCTCACTGACATAGGGTTGCAGGTAGAATTCAAATAAAGTAAGATTTAATATTTCATTGCCCAATAAAAAGTTAAAATGTCGACAATAATGCAAACAGAGGCAACAAATGTGACAAGGTAATCATCATATTTATTGTTTCATAACTTTTAACATTATCTTAGCATAAGTAAGAGCCTCTTCGTTAAATGAATGTTAAAAAAAAGTTTGGAACCTTTTGAATTGCTGAGCACAATCTTGGCAATGAGCCAAAGCTGGTAGTTGTATGGAGACAGCGCAGGAGACTTGACAAGGAAGGGGCCTGAGGCAAGTTGAGTTTCATTGATGTTGGGGAAGAGTTGACTGGCTCTTTCTTGTACTGTCATGGTCATAGCAGGGCCTGAGAAGACAAGATAAAATAATGAAAGTTTCATTGATGTTGGGGAAGAGTTGACTGGCTCTTCCTTGTAGTGTCATTGTCATAGCAGGGCCTGAGAAGTCAAGTTAAAATAATGAATGAGAAAAATTTTTCAGTAAAATTTAATAAATAAGTTGAATCAGCTTTGTAAATGAGGCTTAAAATAATTAAAATAATTCACAATGAACAAAATATTGGGCATGGGATCAATTTTTCAAATCTAACTCAAAATTGAAGTTTCACTAATATGTAGCCAATAGCTGTATTTAATAATGCATTAATTTGTTAAAGTGAAAATAATAAAGCTCTATTAAAACTAGAATCTAGAATGTTAAGATACTGTACCAGCTGTGCAATTGGATATCAGTGAGTACAGAAGTATAACTTGAATGTCATCACATGAAAAAAGGCTTAAATTTAGAAATCAATGTTTTACAGTGGAAGGCTAGATATAGTAATTCAAAACAAAATTACCTGAAAAATTTCATTAAAAATTTACCGTATGTAATTTGTAAACATGATAATTGAGTAATTAAATTATGTCAAAGCCATCAAAGCATGAAAGCTTAATAATAAAATATGTTTCAGACACATTGACTCAATCTTAGTGATAACCATGATCTTAAGGCCATGTATCAAGCAGGCTTGTGAATATTACAAATACAACATGAACTGCACCTGCTAGACCCGGTAGTGCACAAAAACCCAGAGCATCAGATAAATAGCTAACTAAAGGTTGTGAATGAGCATAACAAATATCACACAAACTGTACCCGCTAAAATTGATAGAGCCCCCCAAAAAAACCTGGAGCATCAGATAAATACAGCTTGTGAATGAGCATTACAAATACAACACAAACTGTACCTGCTAAAGTTGGTAGATTAAAAAAAACCTAGAGCATCATATAAATACAGCTTGTGAATATTACACATACAACATAAACTGTACCTGCTAAAGTTGGTAGATTAAAAAAAAACCTAGAGCATCAGATAAATACAGCTTGTGAATATTACAAATACAACACAAACTGTACTTGCTAAAGTTGGTAGATTAAAAAAAACCTAAAGCATCAGATAAATACAGCTTGTGAATATTACACATACAACATAAACTGTACCTGCTAAACCCAGTAGTGCACAAACCCCCAGCGCACTGAAGAAGCCAACAAAAGTCAGGAAAAATTCCCTTCTAGACAGATTGTAGAGCTTCATCTGAACAGATCTGAAAAAGAAGAAGTGGAATAGCACACTAATAATGTAGGTTATTGATTTCAAATCAATTCAAGTTCATTAAATCAAGAATGGAACTTATTAATTTATTATTAAAAAATAATGTTAAGAGAAATATACACGTAACTCAATAAGAATTTGTTCTAACAGTGTACAAACTAAAAATGTATATACCTAATATATTTAATAAGGATGTGAGGGCAGATAAATCTCATAATGTCATTTGTTTATATTCATTGAAACAAAAAACATAAGCTAACAGACCCAATAAATTAAGAGTATATTTGCTACAGACCTTTCACATCGATCATGATGATAAGCAGGAGCAATAAAGCGACTGAACTCGCTGTAGAGATCAGTGATATGTGACACTGCTTGTCTAATTCTGAATATCAGACTTGCGCGGGGAGTGTTGTAGAACTGCATGTAACTGTCTCCCATATTGACCAATTGACAGAACTGATTAATCTGAAAACAAAAGCCACTTTTCTCTGTAAAAAATTTATATTTTATGCGGGTCAATTTTCCAAGCTGTGAATCAATTTTTTAATCAACGAAAAGCAAATTATAGATACAAACTCATTTGTCAATCTGTGTGCAATAATCAGTACCTATTATTGAAGGCAATAAGTGCCTTTTTTAGCCATCCATTTTGATCCATATACTGTTATTGTTAGTAGGCTAATTGCAACATAAAAATAACATTTCAAAAAGACAAAAAAGCTTAAATAATCAAATAAATCAAATAAATCCAAAAAATCATGATAATAAATAAAAAAATTGATTTTTTTTTAAATAAAATAAATCACCAACCCTGCTTGGCATCAACAAGCAAATTGAGACAGTTCTTCAACTGTGTCTTGTTGGCTTTCTTACAGTCCTTCTTGATGAAGACTTCTGGCACCAGCCAATGCAGCCATCCCAGGTTCCTACCTAGGACATACTTGATAGGGCTCTTGTCCAGTAGCTTTTGGACTACAGCATGCATAAAGTCCAGCACTAGTCTCTTGAAAGTGAGAATTTGCCTTCTTGTCTGCAAGCTGCTTTTTTATTGTGGTCCTGGCCATGTAACCAACATCAACCTTATTGAGGGAAATTAAAAAGCTTTTGTCAGTCAGATTCAATGAAACCAGTTTTGCCACGGTACCCAGGACATCCAAAGTGTCTGGAGTAATGAAGCTTGCAAGGAGCCTCTTAATCATGGACTGCAGCCTTGCAGGTCAAAGCAAAGGTATGACAGCAGTGCTGCAGTGGGGCATCTGATTGGAACTTGCGCAGGAAAGGTGTCACCACCCTGGCCACAAAGATAAAGGCATGCACCTTGGACAGTTCACACAGTTGGACTCAAACAGGAGATCTTCAACACAGTGCACACTCCTGCAGCTGCAATGTCTTGAAAAATCAATACTTTGGATATGGGACATTGGGACCCTTCCTCCCTTGACTGCATTTGATAGGAAACAATCTATATTAATTCCTGGCAAAATAATCGCAGACTATCTAAAATAGAAGACACCTAAAAAATACTTAACAAAATTAAGGGCAGATATCATTTGCGCCCAAGGTTGCAGCGTGGCAAGACAACCTGTGGCGCGGCAATCAGGGTTAACACATGAAGCACAGAAAAATACTTCATTTTTTTATTTATTTGCAAATTCCAGTATTTTCCATAATTTTAAATAAAATTCCAGTACTTTTTAAGCCTGGAAAATGAAAAATTAAATTCCAGGACATTCCAGATTTTCCATGATTGGTATGCACCGGCGCACCCTGCCTTCAGCTCAGCTGTTCAGCATTTCTTGCCAAAATCACATGAAAAGAGGTTTTTAAAAATAAATGTGCTGGCAATTTCTTCTGGAGACAAAAAATTTAATGCTGACCTCAGACTATCACTATGTATTTCATCTAAACTGTGTGAAACAGTGAAATATTGCATTTGTTACAATTACCGTACCTTGGAAATTTGGTATCAGCAAGCTGAGCAAAGTAATGTCAATTTATATTTAGAAGGAGCTCTTTGATAGCATATGTATTATTACACGTTTTAATCATTCATCATATTTGATGCTTGTCCGTACCTACTCGTAGGCCCCTTTCACACAGGGCAGTAAATACTGCCAGCGTCCGACAGTATTTACTGCCGAACCTTAGCGGACATACGAAATGTGCACTGCTGTTCACACACGACTGCTTTTACTGCGGTGTAGAACTTGACGCCTGACGCCAGCGTTTGTCAAGCTAAAACTGCGGCGGTAGATTTGTCGCGACAGTTTAGCTTGCAATGGTATTCAATGTAATCTTTCACACTGGGCGGTTTTTGACGCCAGATCCCAGCACAGTGGGGGCCGTATTTTAGGTGCATAATAAACAGCACTGCTAGACTGATATTGTAAGTTTGTAACATAAATATCGGTACATAAATATTGTTACATAAACATAAAGATATACATTGTTAAATATATATTTCCTTACAGTGATAGAGATATATTTTATAAAAGATATATTTTCCATAATATATATAGGTATTTCCATAGAGGTGTATTTACATCATTCTCACATATAGATATATTTTCATAAAGAAATATTGTTACATGAACATAGAGATGCTAGTCTGGAAAAGTCCTATTTTTGTCTGAATGCAGTAAAAAGCGCCTCGTGTGAAAGATTGCGCTGTAAATACTGCCGCGGCATTTTTGATGCGCGCAGTATCTACTGCCCTGTGTGAAAGGGGCTGTACTGTGTGACTGCGTTGTCACATTAGTCACACAGCCGATACAGCTCAACTCTCAAGCGAGTCAAGCCTACCACGGTTTGTGGTACCGACTACCTAGGTACTGACTACCTACCTAGCACCAGCACAGCCACAGTAGGTAATACCGTAATTCACTGTACGGCATCTATTTCACCCGTCCCGAGCCTAACGGGTTGCCTGCCAAAGACCACCACTGCCCTGCCGCCCTGGATGTAATGGACCATCATGATTCCTGCCTTCCGGAACGTAGCCTTCAACAGTTCAAGCCGTCCATATCTAGGCTGTGGGTCGAACCAGCCCTTGGTCGAAGTTGAACCTAGTATGGAATATATCTACTTGGCGAGCCGCGACTGAATTTTT